AAAAAAAAAAAAAAAAAAAGAGCAAAACGTCTAGCAGTTGGGGCTGCTCTAAGATCAGCTGGGCCAGGTTATGAATTGGGCAGCGTCCAGAAAGTGAGAGGTCCAAGCAGAAGCGGGTCCTGCTCAGGCGGACACCTTTTTTTTTTTCGTGTTAATCTGTTGAGTCACAGAAATAAGTTTCAAATGCTGACACATCTTCGTACACTGGGGATTAAATCTTTTATCATGATGTACTCTAAGTGTTAAGTCTGGATTTGCTAATGTTATATCCTGTTCATTTACCTCAGTGATGGTGAACCTTTTAGAAATTTCAGTGATAACATACAGCCGGCTGTGGCACAGGTGCCATGGGTTTGCCATCACCGCTCTAGCCCATGGTGAGGTTGTACAGTAAACTTGTACTGTCTGTGTCGACTTTTTATACCACATTCTAGTAGATGGGTCGTTCTCTGTCTCTTGACTGGAATAGAGAATTTAGGGAAAATGAATTTATGAGTTTTAGTAAAATTTCTCTACAAAATTGTGTAGGCCTTGAGCTTTGTGCTCAAAAAAATTTTTCTTTATCATTGATGCAATATTTTTTGCATAGATCAAATGTGTGGGTAAGGGTCGATTAATTTGTACACTAGCATGTGATCAAGTTTTAAGACAACACAAAGACGTCGTGTGTTCCCAATACCCTGAACACGAGAATGTATTACATTATGCTACCTGATGTAACCACGTCACTCCGATCTTCATCCTTACAAATATTGACGTCTTCTTGATCTGTAAGTTTCTAAGATGTGAAGATCATGACAGCAGCATTATATTCTCCTGGATTTGTTTTGTAGTCCAGCGTTTATTTTATGCATTTATAAATAAATACACAATAGTTATGGCTTCGATGGCATTATTGGAACACAGTCCTTGCTATGGTTTGGGCTCTGGCACAGACACCACAGTGCTGGCTGGCAATCAGTGGTAAAGACGGGGTGACCTGACGCTGGCGCAGTCTGCCAGTGCGGGTCCCAGTCACGGCGGGGTGGAGGGACACACCCCATGGCTGTCAGTCCCTGGATGTGCGTTACCCTGGAGATGCGTGACATGGCGTGACATGGCGAGGCCGGGTTATTTCCCTGTGGAAGCTCAGAGTCAGGGCCGTCAGTCCTGCCCTGGCAAAGTCTTCTGGCCGCACAGTACACTGCTCCAGGCCTCACTTCCAGTCCTCAGGCTCTCTGCACGCTGGAGACCCCGGGAGTGCTCCTGTAGCTGCCGTGTTAGAAAGGAAGAAAACTAATGCAATGAACTAAGTCCCCGCCATTGCTGCTCACATTAGAGGCAGAGTGGACCCTCAGCAACCTCCTTATTTCCTGCTGGGAACTCCCCTGAACCCCGGACAGTTCTCTTGTGCTCTTAGGACTTGCCGGGTGATGTGCACCCCTTCTTCATCCCTGTGGGCCTAATTCCTGCTCTGATCACCATGACATCTCAGGCCAGAGTGACTGTGCTTGGCCATTTGCTACTGAAACTTAGTACACAACACTAGGAGACACCCAAATGCCTCTCTGGCTGCCACGTGCGTGCCTCTGCTCTCCTGTAAAACAGTATCTCCTTCTGCTCTTGCCAAGCCGTCCATGCCTTTTCTCCCCCTCTGACCCCTTGGACTGAGTTGTGCGAAGGGGCCATAGCTTGGCCCCACAAATCTGACGCCTTTCCTGTCCTATTTCGTGCAGACCTGGCTGGCATTCCCAGGGAGCGAGCACTGTGTCTCAACCACCCAAATATGCCTACTGGGCATCTTGCCTCCATTTTCATGTGGGGAATACAAATTTCAGTCCTGTTTTCCTCATTCGGGGAATGGTGACTCTTACTATGCCGTAGACAGCAGACACCGGCAGTGTCCCTGATGCGGCAGGGCCTGCGTCTCTGCTCTCTGGCATCTACTTATGCTCATCTGGTTCCATTAGCGCAATGCCTTCTATACACTGAACAATGTGGTGTCCTGTACAGAGTCCAGATGGTCTGCATCTCTTCGTACTGTTTTTTAACAAAGGGCAGAGGAGTTAACACAGCCCTGGAGCAAACTTGTAATGCATCTGTTTTGTGTTTTAAATAAATGAAAACGCACGCTTCTGCTCTTCCTAAGGATGGAAACAGTACTTTTTCCCAGAGCCACGGATGCATACCACGTTTCTGAGCCATGCTGATCTGCTCTAGAGAGGCATCCACATGGCTCTAAGGCTGGGCCATGGCCCCAGCAGTCCATGCTTAGATACGTCTGACCTTTGCAGGAATCAGATGGGTGAAGTAAATGGAGAGCAAGGGGACTATTATAACGGGGCTGGATCCTTAAACAGACCTTAAAGGTGGCGCTCATTTCAGCCTTTCCTATTGGATAATAGTGTCTTTGTAAACTCACTACCTTGAAACAGGGGTAGCAGGTAAAGGATGAGATACTTTCATAGGTTTCTCCTTGTCCTTTCCCACTGGAAGCGCTTATCCTACAAATGAAGGTGCAACGTGGAGTTTGTGCCAACTGTTCCGGGTGCTTCACAGGTGTTACCTGGATACCGTGCAGATTCACAGGCACAGGGACCGTGGTGAGCAGAACGTGCTTACCCCGGCCTCCACTTTGACTGGGGGACCCTGGTGTACCGTGGCCTCAGTATCACCTTGGATGCTGTAGCTGAGGGCCTGGCAATGTCAGCGTAATCCCCCTCCCAACTCCATACGTGCCAGTAGATCTCTCTGGGAAAAGGCCAGTATATATATAATATATATATATACACTATATGTAATGTGTGGTGTTTGCCTCGCTAGTAGGGCTGCTGCCCTGGACATTTGTCGTGATGCTTCAGCGGCCCTTGGAAATGGTATCTTCTTTGGTCACTGGGTGCTGGGTATGAAAAACCAGACATTAAATAACAGGTTCTAATTTGTCAGAAGGGCTGTCCTCAGATGTCTCACCATCTCCCTTGCTTTTTTTTTTTAATTTCACAGAGAGAATAGCCCTTGTGTTGCCTGCCCATGTGTTTTGCACCCATCTGTTAACCATCTCCACAGCCTTCTGAAAGCCTGGCCCCTGCTGGCTGCCCCTCTCTTCCTGCCGCTGTCATAAGAAGTGTGCTTGTCTGCACCGAGCACGGCACTCTGCCACCTGGCCTCCTCTCTCGGGGCTCAGGGGTCCCAGGGTCCCCCTGCTGTGGATCAATCCACCTACTTCTCTATGGTTTCTCCACCACCAACCCCGCACCGTAGGAGAAGCCCCCAGCGATGCTCATCTACCCACCGTGCCTTACTGTCCCAAGATGCCATCTTGGCCCTCCCACAACACAGAGTCGTCTGTTAGTTTTCCCGGTCTTATAGCATGTATCTATTCTAGCTGGTATCTCACGCTGATATTTCTCTGAAAGTTATTTTTCTTTTTTTGCACCTCTTGCTGCCATTCTGGCTTTTATTCTTAATGTAAGGCATCATTTTTCTGTATTTCTAGAAGCCATCATAGCTGTTTGCTCACTTCCCCTGCAGTCCTGGCTGAGGTGTTAGTGCACATCCTCACAACACACTCCCCTCTGATAAACTCTCTTGCCCAAATTGGTTTCTTTTTCTTGACCCAGCAGTTTCAGAATCCAGCCCTGACACTTCAGCAGACCCTGCAGTTTCTTTGAAAGTGGCTCCCTGTCTGGTTCCTAGCGGGTCCAGTTATTACCGGTGCTACCAGAATGTGGTATGGCCAAGTTGTCTTCCAACTGAGCTCTAGTGACCGTTCTGCCTGGAGGGGAGGGAGGGGCAGACCCTGGCAAAGTCAGGCAGGGCACTTCTGTAATCCCCACATCATCTGCAAGGAAGGTTAGCTGTTCGCAGGAAGCAACAGTCGCTCGGAAGACTTACAGGTCAAGGGAGTCTGGGGATTCGAGACAGTCAGGTGCAGCAATCTGAGTACCCCGTGTCCCTGGCCTTGGCCCTGCCATAGCAGATCTGCCCATTTAGTTTAACCTTCTATGGCTTGGCTATCCTACACTTAGTCTAGGCCTAGCACACGTGTGGGACCAAGGAGGCTTCTAGCTATCATGCTAGGCTCTGTGTGTGTGTGTGTGTGTGTGTGTGTGTGTGTGTGTGTGATGGTTTGAACCCAGGGCCTCACACATGCTAAGCAAGCAGTCTCCCCTGAAACACCCTCCCCACCAGCCCTTGCAGTTGATCTTTAATTGCTTATTAATCAGTTTTTTGTTGTCTTTTTCAAGAGCAGTCAATGGAGCAGAACAGTAACTGTCAAATTCTTTTTTCCTTCTAGTTATAATTTCTGCATATGTTACAAAACTTCATACCAATTAAGGGATCTAACATTATTTCTTCTGATTAGTTTTTGTCTGGGTCTGGTTTATCTTCTGACATTAAATGTTGGTTTGTTGTTTGTTTTCTTTAGTGTCATTAAGTTTTAGGAGGTTTTGCATATACCAGAAATTTCTTGATTCCCAATCTACCTTTTAATGGATGACTAGAACTCGCTCAAGTTTGCTGTAATTTCTGATCTATTTATATTCATATCTACCATCTTATCCGACAATCTCCTCACCTGTTTTTTACTTTATTTTATTGGACTGGCACAATTTCTATTTCTTCTTTCTCCCTTTATTACTTGTTCAGAAATTAAATATTCCATTTATTTTTCCTTTTGTTTTTGCGTTTGTCTTCATGATTTTAATGCACAATGCCAAGATTAATCAGAATCTATCGTACTGCTGCACCAGACAAATGTAAAGTGAGTAATTCTGAGCATCCTTTATCTGACCCAGAGATCGCACCTCAGTTGGTCCACTGGTTCGATACAAAAGCTCACCCAGAGGCGCATGTTTAACCTCTCTCCCCACAAACCTGTGTCATTCTACTGCCTGCCTTGGAACTGCTTGGGACCCTGTGATTTTTCCCCTATCTTGCTTTTAATCTCAGCCATGTACTTTAAGAGAAAGCTTATTTTCTATGTGATTCAGTACTTGGAGCAGTACTCGGGAATACTTGGGAAGCTGCCCCTCTCTGATTGGTCCCCACATAGATTAGAACCTTTGCTCTTCTCATCTCTGCTCTGTGCAGTCCTTGAGAGCTGCCCAGCACATAGCGGGCTGTCCATGCCTCCCATCATGCCCCAGGCCTGCACTAAGCATCCCCTGAAAGCTGATATAAAGCTTGGGTTAGGAAAACTCACTTCAGGGTATCTGAATAATGTATATTCGGTGTTTGCAATGAGGAGAGAGGCACTTTTCTGGGGGGGTTGTAATCATCGTTACAGTTAACCATTCCTGGGACAAGTGCTCTCCTAAAAGGAGGCAGGCTGGCTAAGAATTTCCACTCTGCCAGGAATGACATTAGGGTTTAATTCTGGCAACGGACCTGGAGAAAGCCTGTGTGATTGAAATTCACCAAGAAATCGAAAATTCACTTCAGCAGCAAGCTTTCTCCTCCCTCCCACCCACCTCCCCTCTCTCCTCCCAAGCCTGCTCCCTTCTGCACCTGGCACCCACTCACTGGGGTGGAAAGTGGCAGTTCTAAGGCACTGGGGACCCCGTGACCCAGCCCAGCCTTGGGAAGACTCCAGGGCCCCACAGGCACCTTGCGGATCTGTGCCTTCTTTGGCACGAGGTCAGCCCCAGTGTGTTTTGCTCTTCGTTTCTCATCACCTATGGTGTCCGGCTGTCCCTCCCACACCCCCTCGACCACTGAGTGAGGCTGTGTGAGAAAGGAGTGGTGCCTGCAGCCGCATCCGGACCTGTCTGGGAGTAATGGAGGAGTGGGAGTCAGTCTCCTGAGGTCTCTCTCTCCTCACCCTGTTCCAGAAGCACTTGACCTTCATCAGATTCCAGGAGCTGCCCAGCTCCCTGCAGGCCCTGCCATCTCGGGGCATGGTGCATGGTGCCGATCTCATCTACTTTGACTTGCAGCGAGGGCCCCGACTGAGCAGGGTGTGGAAGCGGCCTCCGGACTTGTCCTCTGTCCACTCTCTGTGCTTCTGTCTCCCTTACAGAGCCCAGTAATGGGGGCCCCTGGGGTCCTGAGTTACAAACACTTCTCTACTTGTTCCACAAGATTTTCTTTTACAAAACACAGATGTGGAGCCAAACTGTTGCTTTGCCATACTCAAGAGAGGCATAAAAACTCATCTAATTTTCCTTCTGGTCTTGGCCTAAAAAATAAGTTTGTTTGTTTTTTTCTTTCTGAATAGCCCTCACCTAGGTGGGCTAAAAAGCTGTGAGTTTACCAAGTTAATTCCTGCC